CCTCTGTAGCAAGAGCTGTTTCTGTTTGTTGCCCTTCTTTTTGGCAGAGAAGACACTATCCAGGGTATGGAACCAGACAGACCTGGGTTTGAATCCTATGCTGCTATGAATTGTCACATGTGCAGTCTTGCACAAATCAACTGGCTTCTGTAAGCCTCGGTCATCCTCATTTGTAAAAGAGGAAGGTATGATATGAATAACTACTGAAAGAAACTGGGACTGCTGACTGCCAAGGGCAGCAGCGTAAAACGACCAGCTGCTCCTTGGGAAAAAGACAGGCTTTCTATTCCATAAAGAGTTACAGGGGCAATTCTACCCCGTCCTATGGGGTGGCCACAGTCACCAAGGACTCGATGGCAGTGAGTTTGGTGTTTTGTTTTGTTTTTAATTTGGGGGGGAGGTTTAAATAAACTTAATCACAGTACCTACTAACTTCATAAGGTGGGTGTGACGATGAAATAAGATCAGCATATAAAGTGCTCAATACTAAATGTGCTTAACACAATGGATGGATGCATGGATTGTGGTAAGTTGTATGAGTCCCCAGTAAAATGATTTTTTAAGTGCTCAGTACTGTGCTAGGCAAAGGAAATGCTTTAAAACTACAACCTCTTAAAAAAAAAAAAAAAGGCAGTAGCTAATTTATTGAAGATTCCTCCAAAAACATATCCCCCAAAAGTTAAAGGATCACTATCTCTGATTTCCTAGAGTTATCTATTATCACAACCTACTACTAACCTTGGTGCACATAAGCAAATGGCATGGTCAGAGCCTGGGTGAAGAGCCTGGGTGAAAAACCTGCACTTTACCAAATTAGGTAGGGTAGAAAACTAACCCTCACACCCTCATGCTTAGATTCAGGTCAGCACGTAGGTGGTGTGTTTTGCAAACCTAGGACCAGAACAGACTGCCCCTTCGGCTCTAGAAAGCGCTCCACACCCAGCTGCTTATACAGACACACCTCAGCTTCTGGCAGAAGCTGCCAATAAGTAGTTTTCATAAGGCAGGAAATCTTTCATGGGTCTTATACAAAGGGTTCGATACTTATTTCATCTTCTTACCAAATGCTCCTTTCTCATGGGGCCTGGGCATTTTTAGCACATGTCGAGTGCAGGCACAAACATCATTGAGTTTGTTCTTTAATGATGCTCTTAAATTGCTAAGTCATTCTAGGCCATGATTACAGCTTCCTAATCCCCCAAAGCCACAACATCGCGGGTCAGTTTGTCCTACTATGGTGGTTTTTGAGTTGCTGGGATGCTGAAAAATATGCCACTGATATTTCCAATACTAGGCGTGCCACCCAATCAATGGCCATGGACACAGCAGTCAAGAGAGCAAATGACATACTGCCTTGGGAAAATCTGCTGTGAAAGACCTCTTTAAAGTAATCAAAAGCAAAGGCATCACTTTGAGGGCTAACGGCATGCCGGACTCAAGCCGTGGTCTTTTCCATTGCCCTCGTGTGCATTTGGGAGCTGAACAATGGAAGACCAAAGGAGAACGGATGCCTTTGAATTATGGAGTTAGGCACAGACATTAAATATACCATTAGCTGCCAGAAGAACGAACAAATCTGTCTTGGAAGAAGACCAACAGAACGCTCCTTAGACACAAGGATGGTGACTTTGTTTCCCATACTTTGGACATGCTATCATGAGGGACCAGTCCCTGGACAAGAAATTTATTTTTGGTAGTGGGTCAGTGACTAGAAGACCCTCCCTGAGATGGACTGACACTGTGGCTGAAACAACAGACTTAAACATGGCAATGGACTGGAGATCCCCTTGCTGAGGGGTTTTGGGGAGGAGATGAGCCAGTCAGAGTGCGATGTAGCAACGATGAAAAATACAACTTTGCTCTAGTTCTTAAATGCTTCCCACCCCCCACTATCATGATTCAAATTCTATCTTGCAAGTCTGACTAGACCAGAGGATGTACACTGGTACAGTTAGGAACTGGAAACACAGGGAATCCAGGACGGATGATCCCTTCAGGACCAGTGGTGGGAGTGGTGATACTGGGAGTGTAGAGGGAGAGTGGATTGGAAAGGGGGAACCGATTACAAGGATCTACATGTGACCTCCTCCCTGGGGGATGGACAACAGAAAAGCAGGTGAAGGGAGATGTCGGACGGGGCAAGATATCACAAAATAATAATTTATAAATTATCAAGGGCTCATGAGGGAGAGGGGAGCGGGGAGGGAGGGGAAAAAATGAGGACCCAATGCCAGGGGCTTAATGGAGAGCAAATGTTTTTAGAATGATGAGGGCAATGAATGTACAAATGTGCTTTACACAATTGACGTATGGACTGTGATAAGAATTGTATGAGCCCCCTAATAAAATGATTTTTTTTAAAAAGAACAATACAGGGGAAAAACGCATGGCAATGGTTGTGAGGATGAAGCAGTCAAAAGTGCTGAGTGGGACTCTAACAAAAACTCATAAAGCCAACAAAGGAAGGCTCCATCTTGCTCAACATGGGGAGAGAGAGCGTGTTTTCTTCACTGATAGCCAGAAAGGCAAACACATTTCCTGGATCCCAAACCAAGCCATTGCCTTCAAGTTGAATCTGCCTCCTGGGGACCCAATAGCACAGAAGGGAACTACCCACAGGGTTTCCAAGGCCCTGTGAGTCTTTACAGAAACAGAGAGGTTGCATCTTTCTCCCATAGAGCAGCTGGGGGGTTCACACTGCCAGCATGTCAGTTAACCATCCAGCACTTAACTACTGTGTCACCTCAACCAAAAACACCAAACCTGTTGTTGACAAGGCAATCCAGACTCACAGGTGCCACCAGGGATCCTTAATTCCTAGCTAGCAAGTAGAAAGGGATATTTGCAGGTAGTTGTTGAAGAGGAATCTCGGTAATGTATGTCATAATACTAAAAGAAGTTTCTGGCCACCTTACTGAGAGGTACTCCATTGTGGCCTTTCTGTTTCACTGAATCCCTAGGGCTTTCCTGTTCTCCGTAATTCCTTTCCCCTCCCTCCTCTATATATATTCACTTCTCCAGGCCTATGCAAGTAAGCAATTTTATAATTAAAAAATGTATAAAATAATGAAACCATAGGTGTTTAAATCAGGAAATATTTTATTGAATCCGTCTACACGGAATGGTTTTAAATGGTGAAGGGAGCACTTCAAAACAGCACGTCTCTGAGGGAGAATAAATTATAATGAGCAGGAGCTGTTCTCAATCCAAGACAAAGGCAATTTAGTAGAACTGATGAAGCAAATAGGTACTATGCACCTGTGATGGCAGCACAAAGGTCTATAGTGATTAGGATAGAAAGTTCAGACACTTCAGTATCAACAGCTCCTTCGGGGCATTTGTCAGAGGTTTGAGGTTGGATGCTATGAATACTGGAGCCTTTTCAACCTTTGATGCTCCATTGCCACTAATTTTGTCTTCTTGAAGAAGAAGCTATCTTCTTCAAGTAGGAGACACAAACATCTATTCACCAAAAGTACCAATATAGCAAATTGATCAAACCTTTGAGACTTATCCAGTCAGCAAATGCCCAAAGAATTGAACAATAAACCCAGCTTTCCAGATACTTCATAGATGTAGCGAGTACTGAATAAGTGAGACAAAATACATAAAATACTCAGCACAAGTGTAGACATTGCTAAACACTGATAATGTTAGTCTATGACACAAAATTACCTGAGATATCATGATCCCCCTTTTGCTTAATTAATGGATGTAGTTACTTTCCTAATCTATCTATCTATATCTATATCCTTCTCAAAAACAACAGCCTTTAAAGTTGCTCAACTTCACTCATAGAAGAAATGCATACTAAACCATTTACACTTAACCAGTTTAAAATATACAGAAGTTTGGTATATTTCATTAGCAAATTATGGGAAAACAGGCATCATCTTACATCGGTGAGGCCAATGTAAAATGGCATAACCCCTATGGAAGATAATTTGATGAAATACGAATATTGCAAATGCATATTCCCTTTGACCTATGACTTCCACTTTGTACAATTTATTTTCGAAAAAACAAAACCACAGGCTAATAACTGCAGCAGTTTTAGCAACAGCAAAAAAAGAAAGGTCAAAAACAACTCATTGTCTATCAGTAGGGGATCAGTTAAGTAACTAGTTAGTTAAGGAATTAGAAGAGAGACACTTCAGAAGCTCTTTTCTGATATAATGTACTCTGAGATATATCAAGTGATAAAGTGTGCATTGTATGCTCCTTTGTGTGTATAAATAAACTCTAAAAGGAAACTAGTAATAGTGGTTCCATGCATGGGTAAAGGGATGGGAAATGGGTAATTTAGGGAATGGGTTTGAAGAGCCTTTTCATTGTAAGCCTTTATATTAACATGTTTTGAGTCAAGTTTCCATCGTACTAGTTCAAAATTTTAAAGCAGAATTTCCTTCTTTTTACATTTTCATTTTGTGTTTTCACGCAATCAATGCTTTACACGCGGGAAGTGTTAGCAATATACTACCGCTGGTCAGCGGCTCAAGTTCTAGAGTAGGCAAATCCAGATACTGATCCTAGCTCTGCCATTTTTACTTTGTAGCCTTATTATGTATGCTAACGGCCTCTTCCGTCTCAGTTTCTCCATCTGCAAAATGGAAGCAAAGGTAATAATGCCTCCCTCGGGCTGTTAAGGAGCTACAAATCGGAACGCAAATAGGCCACGATGTCCAACAATATTAATAATAATTCACGAAATGGCTGGTTTACTCCACTTGCCACATCTCAAGAACACCTCCCAGGACCCCAAATCTCGGCTTCAACCTGCCCCCCTTTGAACACAAGACGCACTTCCCAGGCTCCGGAGGATACAAGTCGGCCGTTATTCCCCAGGTGCGTTTTCAGGGCCTCAGGCCCTGGACACCCCATCCTCCCGCTTCCCCCTCCCATCCCACCAGGTCCCACTCAGACTCCGCCCCTGGCTCTTCCCGAGGGCCTGGCTTAGAGCTGCACTTCTTTCCTTCCCCCAAGCGGACGGAAGCGCCTACCCAAATATTCGTAGTCCGGTAGGGCTAGGCGCTCGGGACTCAGCATCTTTGGGCCGGAGGAGCAGCACAGCCGCCGCGGCCGGCTTCCGGAACCCAGGTGGCGCTCTCCCCGTTGCCATGGCACCGACGGCGGGTGGGCGGGCGGGGCGTGTCCCGCGAACAGCGTCCGGGCCGCCCGCCGAGCCCGGCTGGAACGTTCCGGGCGCAGGCGCTGTGCCCGTCGCGGGGCGTTCTCGGCCGTCCCGCTTTCGGGACTTGGTTGCAGGAGGATCTGTCGTGGAGACTCCTTTTAAATTCGTTACAGGACTGGATGCCGAAGCATTCCTGCCACGTCTCCAGAGCCGCCGGGTCAGCGTCTCGGATCGATTCCTTTCTCCCCCGGTGACACTGATTCACGACAATAGCCCCCAGCCCTGAACTCCCATAGACCTTGGCTACGGTTAGCGCTCGTTTCCCTGGTGGCGCGGCGGTGAAAGCGCTTGAGGGCTGGACCGCCCCCTCCGCTGCTACCTGGGAGGAAGGGGAGGCTGCCAGCTTCCTGAAAGATGTCCAGTCCGGAGAACCTCGGGGGCATTCTCTGACCGACAGGGTCCCCGGGAGGGGAACTGATGGCAGCAGGTTTGGCTTGGGTCTGATCTTCAGTTGTCACAACGTGCTTTCACATGTGTGTATGCTGGCTGCTCCTGGAGGTCGGGGATAATAGGTGTCTTTTCTGTCTGCCGCAGGACGGGAAATGAGGGTGTTCCCGAAATCCTGGGAAAGTTCACGGACGCTTCCTCTGCATTCCTGGTTACCTTTAGGTCCTCCTCCTCCTCCTCCCCACCCTTGCTGTCTGACACCCTTCCCAGGGATAGTTCCTTTCCTTACCTAGACACTGCACGTCCTCGGCGGAGGAGCGCACAGACAGGGCGTCGGTGGGACGCCCACCCGCTCCCTTTCTTCTTTCAGAGGCGAAAGTAATCCTTCCTTTCAAATTCCCAGGCATTTCTCGTGAGGCCCCTCGCGGCTCCTCGCCCTGATGGCCTAAGTGGACCGCTCATGGGAAGGCCGGCGATTTGGAACCAACACACAGCCGTTCCACGGGAGAAAGAGGAGGCTTTCTGCTCCGGTCAAGATCTGGTTTGGGACACTCACTTGGGGCAGGTCTACTCCGGCCTCTAGGTTGCTGAGAGTCGGAATCCGCTCGAAGGCAGCCAGTTGGTGTTGAGGACTCCTCGCAACAAGTTCAAACCTCGTAGAAAAAAGCCCACTCCGTTCTCATTTTGATAGCTAAATGCAAGGTCAGACGACCTCGCACCCCTTGAAAGGAGACGAGGTTTTGTGAAGAAAAATAACGGTCAAAACATGTTATCAAAGGAATTCCTGGTAAACCAGTGGACCACCTACACTGGGAGGAAAAGGAAAGAGGAGGTGCTCCTCTTTGTGTTTTGAGTGGTCTATTCTTAGCCTCCCCCAGCAGGGAGCCTCAGACCTCTTAATTCTCCCTTTCCCTTAAAATTGTATATATGTCTCATTTCCAGGCTCCTCTGAGTCACTCTGAGTTTGGATGTGGTAAGGATAAAGGGACAGAGGCAAACTAGCAGCAGCATTTAGTGTCCTGAGGTAATGAATTCACTAATTTGATATTTGATGTGAAGTCCTGCAGATTTTATTTAAAAACAGTCTTCCTTCCCCCTTCCAAGAGCACCTGATGGAAGTTTTAAGCCTGTGGCTTATTCCCACATTATTAATAAAAATAATAAGATACCAAAACTCATTGTCATGGATCCGATTCTGACTCACAGAGACCCTATAGGACAGAATAGAGCTGTTGTACCTGTGGGCTTCTGAGACGTAACTTTCTTAGGGAGTAGAAAGCCTCATCTTCTTCCTGAAATACTAACACAGGAATTATTATTACTAAGGATCATTTTATTTCTCCCACACCTAAAACTGTTTGCAAGTAATTTCATTTATCTAAGGGGAGAAATTGAGGCGTAAATCAGGAAAGTAACTTATCTAGCCAATCAGTAAGAGAGCTGGGACCAGCTATCCCAACATGCAGGCTTCTGGTGTGACCACTAAACCACGTAGCCTCTTTTTTAAGAGTATGTTGGCTGGGCTTTTATTTACCTCTTTTCAACCTTTTTTGCTTCGCCTTGCCAGAAATTGGAAACTCCCAGCAATAGGATACTAAAGCAGTAGAATGTAAGCACTTAGCCTTCGATCTAAAAGAAGAGAATTTAGAGTCAAGAGTGAACATTTGACATCTCTTTATTTGTGGATCATTATCCGGGGAGTTGGAGGGGACTGCTGCTGGGGTCTGTGTGGCGGAGCTGGGAACCAGCCCCAAGAATATAGCTTACTTGGGCATTAACCCATTTGCGGTTATAATAATGATAAGTTTCAGCACCAGTGGCGCCTGACTGTTAATGACTCAAAGAAAGCTAAATAAGAACAAGATGTCATCTCTGGAGCAATTTGTAGGTTTTTCCTACAGCTCCATCCCTTCCATTAAAAAAAAATTATAAAGACCCTTGTATTTAAAGCCAGTTTTCTGCTCTGAATGTCTTGGACAATCTCAGATGGAGAAGGAGTCAGAAAAGGGTAGGAGGTTGCTAAACTCAGGCTTCAAGAAAATTTGGGATTGCACAGAATTAACAGGTGACCTTAATGGTTGTTGGTGGAATTACTGGCTGTTTGCATTTTTCCTCCTTATACCTTCTTTATTCTCCAAGTTTTCTATAATGGCATATGTTACATTTATAAGTTGGAAAAACAAGCGATAAATTAATGACTTGACAAACTTTAAAGTACTTTTTACGTGAATGATGACCTTCCAGATAGTGTTTGTTTTTCCCAAGATGAAGCCACTACTTTTAGATGTCTCTTCTGTCATAGATTACATGATAATAGATTTTGGCAAGGCACCAGCGGTGGAGGAAATTTTCAGTGAAGCTCATGCAACCCAAGTCCTTTAAGAAGAGTGGAAATATACAAGAGTTGTTAGTTAAAAGACCAGTGTATTTTTATAACCTTGTTGAGTGTTAAGGAAAGGGGGGAAAAAAATGTCGGCCTTGAACTTAGATGAGTTTTTCAGGTTCTAAAATGATTCTAACATGTTTCTGAAATATTTGCCTAAATAACAAAAAATCCAAAGACAAACCTCACAATCCTGGAAAGTGTCAAGGGATGTGAAGTTGATCAAAAGTCAGAGATGGTATCAAATGTCGAAGGCAGTCCGTGCTACCACATAAAGAACGGAAGCACCAAGCTCTGAATAGTGGGGGAAGCATCCACAACAGGGAGGAGGGGTTGAGAGATCAATTAATTGATTTATAATTCCTGGTTATAAAAAGAAAATAAATAGATATCCATGGCTCTGCGAAGGACCTATTAAGATATAGATTGTAAAGAAAATCCTCCTTGGATTTGAAGATTATATAAAAGCAAACAAATGTTCCAACTAATTTTAAACCCCAAGGCAAGGATGAGGAAAAAGAAAAGGCAGGCTGAATTATTGCTACAAAACAGGTTCAAGAAACTAGGACAAACTTTTATCAACTCATCAAGCAGAAGAGATGCTAAAGGCAAAGTAGCTACTAAGAAATGCAGGTCATGAAATTCATGCTAAACTCCTAGGCTCATCTTAAAAGACAGATCTTCCATGGAAGCAAAGTAGAAACAAAGTGTGATGCCGCTGTATGAGATTAACATGTTTAAATTAAAAATGCTATTTAGAGAAGAGTCTTGTTGAACTGCTACATGTCAAGAGACCTGAGTGTTGGGGGACTTTGCAAAGAAAAAAAAAACATTCACAAACCCTCCCACAGTTAAGCATAGCTAATGAATTACAAGAATGGTGTTAAGAGGACATGGTTTAAATTGAACGAGAACTCCAAGGCAATTACGGACCTGACTCTTGGTCACTTATAATGGTGAGATGCTTTGTGGCTGTATTTTCTTTCAATTCAACTCAGACTCACTGTCATGAAGTTAATTTGACAGGACAGAGTAGACTGCCCTGTGGGTTTCTGAGACTGTGACTGTTGTGGTTACATAATTTCATGTCAACTTGAAGATATGAAAGTGTAGGGGTGGAGTCTAGCCTGTCAGTCAGGTCACAGCCTGATAATGCCTCTTTGTGGGCATGACCTCATAAGGAGGGTCCTGGGAAACTCCCCCCTCTCTCTGCCTCCACCTCTGGTTGAAGAGCCACACGGAGACCTGTGAGAGCCCTGTGATACTTCTACCACCATTGGATCCACAAGACTTTTCACCCACCGGCCCGCAATCTTCCTGCATTCTGCATCGTTGCATGTGGCTGTGTGAGTCTGAGGAGGGATTTGTATGGACTATAGTATTGGACTTATGGACTTGAGTTGGACTGGGCTAGAATGTTTTTTCGATATACAATTACTCCTTGATAATAAAGCTCTTTCTTACAAATATATGAGTGTCACTACATTTATTTCTGTAGTCAACCTGACCTAACACATTATGGTACCTTGGGAGTGGGGTACTAGAGAAACAAATCAGGGTGATAGAGAGTGGAGGCTTGTCTGACTTCTGCCTTATCTCAGGTTTTCTTCTGTGGCTAGCCAGAGGTCAGATATAGCCATGCAGAGTACTGGGTTGTTTTTTGGAAAGAACATGGGAAATTAAAGTTTTTATTCTTGTCTTTGGTTATTCTTGTTTGGAATGGTGAAAATGAATGTGATCAATGTAAATTTTGAGCTCAGGGGCCAAAATTGCCCCTTGAACTTTTCTGAGACCACGCAGCTTAGTCAAAATGGCTGACAGAAGGCGTAGCCCTGGCTTGATGCAGCCAGAGGACTAAGGCCATATAGCATGTAAATGGGGTCGTTTAGACAAGGATTGAATTTCACTGGGGAGGATAAGTGAGGCAGCCCACACTGAGTTGACCAGACCCTACCAGATGAAGAGAAGAATTTTGAGCCTGTGAGCTGGTGCATATTGCTGCTGATTTTATGGACTGCCTGTCCTGATTTGACTTTGCTTGTGGATGCAGACTCACAAGGTTCCAACCAGAATGAAGATTCTTCACATCAAAGAACATGCTTGTCACCTACAACCA